GGTAGTAAGGGAGTCATAGTTACTCCTGCTGTTTACCCGCGCTTCATTGAATTTCTTCACTTTGACATTCACAGCATTGGGCAGAAATCACATCGCGATGCTTTGTTTTAATTAAACAGTCGGATTCTCCTGGTCCACACCAGTTCTAAGCCGGCTGCTAGGCACCAGCCGAGGTGGGGCGCCAGCCCAGGGACCCCCTCCAGGGACCCTCCCCCGCGCGAACTGCTCGGCTGACGTTGGCCACGGCCGTGCGCCGCGGGTACCCCGCCGGCAGGAACCAACGGGGCAGCGGCGCGCTACGACGATGGTGGCGGCCCCGCTGGGGCGCCAGCTGCGGCAAGGCGGAGGGGGGGTGGAGGGGAGGGCGGGCGATGCCCGCCACAGCTGGGGCGATCCAAGGGAAGGGCCCGGCGTGTGTCCAGAGTCGACGCCGTGCGCGCCCGCGCATGCCCCGGCGCCCGGGCGGGCCACGTGGAGCGCACTTACCCGCACGCGGTGCCTCGTCCTGCCACGGCACGCGCCCAGCCCCGCTGTGCGCCCCAGCCCAACCGACCCAGCCCTTAGAGCCAATCCTTATCCCAAAGTTACGGATCCGGCTTGCCAACTTCCCTTACCTACATTGTTCCAACATGTCAGAGGCTGTTCACCTTGGAGACCTGCTGTGGATATGGGTACGGCCCGGCGTGAGTCTTACACCCTCTCCCCCAGATTTTCACGGGCCAGCGAGAGCTCACTGGACGCTGCCAGAACCGTGACGCTTTCCAAGGCGTGGGCCCCTCTCTCGGGGCAAACCCTTTCCAGGGCGCCCAGCCCTTCACAAAGAAAAGAGAACTCTCCCTGGGGCTCCTGACGGCTTCTCCAGGATCGGATGCGTCACTGCACTGGGCGCCTCGCGGCGCCCGTCTCCGCCACTCCGGATTCGGGGATCTGAACTCGACTCCCTTTGCTGAGGGCGATTGAGGCCATCACCCACCCTTTTGGAACGGCACTCGCCTATCGCTTAGGACCGACTGACCCATGTTCAACTGCTGTTCACATGGAACCCTGCTCCACCTCGGCCTTCAAAGCTCTCGTTTGAATATTTGCTACAACCACCAAGATCTGCACCTGCGGAGGCTCCACCCTGGCCCACGCCCCAGGCTTCGAGGCGCACCGCAGCGGCCCTCCTACTCGTCGCGGCCTAACCCCCGTGGGCATCGCACTGCCGGCGACGGTTGGGTATAGGCCCAACATTCCAGCGCCATCCATTTTCAGGGCTAGTTGATTCGGCAGGCGAGTTGTTACACACTCCTTAGCGGATTCCGACTTCCATGGCCACCGTCCTGCTGTCTAGATCAACCAACACCTTTTCTGGGCTCTGATGAGCGTCGGCATTGGGCGCCTTAACCCGGCGTTCGGTTCATCCCGCAGCGCCAGTTCTGCCTACCAAAAGTGGCCCACTGAGCACTCGCATTCCATGGCGCGGCTCCATGCCAGCGAGCCGGCCCCCTTACCCATTGGAAGTTTGAGAATAGATAGAGATCGTTTCGACCCCAAGACCTCTAATCATTCCCTTTACCAGGTACAACTGCCCATTGCCGAGTGCCAGCTATCCTGAGGGAAACTTCGGAGGGAACCAGCTACTAGATGGTTCAATTAGTCTTTCACCCCTAGACCCGGGTCGGACGACCGATTTGCACGTCAGGACCGCTACGGACCTCCACACAGAGTTTTCCTCTGGCTTCGCCCTGCCCAGGCATAGTTCACCATCTTTCGGGTCCTAGCACGGACGCTCACGCTCCACCTCCCCGGCCCCGCAAGGGGTCGGCGGGCGAGACGGGCCAGTCGTGCGCCCAGGGCTGCCAGGCGCGACACGCGCCCCGGGATCCCACCTCAGCAGGGGCGCGGCAGCCCTCACCTTCATTGCACCGCGGGCTTTCGACGACGGCCCCCGACTCGCACACGTGCTAGACTCCTTGGTCCGTGTTTCAAGATGGGTCGGGTGGGTAGCTGACCCTGGGCGCCGGAGCACAGCCTGTCAAGCCCGGCCCAGCAGCGCCGCGCGGTTGGGGTGCACTGAGGACAGTCCGCCCTGGTTGACAGTGGTGCTGGGGGTCCGTGGGCTCGGCCCCTGCACCCCTGCGTGAAATGCCGCACTGCGGGGACGCCGCCCCCACCCTCCCCACCCCCAGGAGGGGGAGGGCGGGGGAAAAGTGACGCCCCCAACCACAGCGCCGCCAACGGGGGGGGGAGGAGGGCGCTACGGCGGTCCTCTCCCGCGGCCCCAGGATTCAGCAAGACCTGCTGCCCGGGGGCTGTAACAGCCGCCGCCGCTCGCGCGGCGCTTGGCCACTTGCCCATCGGAGGCCTTCCCAGCTGACCCAGAGCTGGTCGTGGCGCACCGCCGCAGAGGAAATGTGCCCGGTCATGGCCGGCTGCCGGTTGGGTGGCGGTCCCCACACCGGCCTGCCCCCCCCAGCTCGCCCCACGCACGGGGTTTACCCGGGGGACGGAGGGGAGGTGGAGGTAAGGATCCGCCGAACCCACGCTGGCCAACCGCAACTCGCTGGGTTGAATCCTCCGGGCGGATTGCGCGGGCCCCGCCCGTTTACCTCTTAACGGTTTCTCGCCCTCTTGAACTCTCTCTTCAAAGTTCTTTTCAACATTCCCTTACGGTACTTGTTGGCTATTGGTCTCGTGCCGCTATTTAGCCTTAGATGGAATTTACCACCCGCTTTGGGCTGCATTCCCAAGCAACCTGACTCCGAGAAGCCCCGGGCCTGGCGTGCCGGGGGGCCACTACCGGCATCACACCATCCACGGGCTACGGCCTCAGTCACAAGGACTTGGGTCCCCCAAGAGCTCCACCGGGGAGGGGGGCTTCTGTACGCCACATGTCCCACGCCCCACCACGGGGTGGGGATTCGGCACTGGGCTCTTCCCTCTTCGCTCGCCGTTACTGAGGGAATCCTCGTTAGTTTCTTTTCCTCCGCTGACTAATATGCTTAAATTCAGCGGGTCGCCACGTCTGATCTGAGCTTGCAATCCCAAAGCTCGGCCATGCCGCGCATGGGGGCGCGCGCGACGATGGCCGCCGTGTCTCCCCTGCCCGCTACACCGCCAGCCCCCCCCTCCTCTCCGCGCTCCCGGAGGGAGCCAGAGAGAGAGAGTGTGCGTGCGCATGAACGAGCGACGAGGAGACGGAGAGCCCCATCCCGGAGACGAGAACTGAAAAGGGAGTGGGGCAGAGATGGCCCCACACGGGAGGACCGGCCGGGCGGTGGCGCGCATGACGGCATCAGCGGGGAGAGAGAGAGGAACGACGGCGTCCCTCGGCGCGCCCCGAGACCGCGACAGAAGAGGAGGGGGTGGGCGAAGGGAGGACGGGGTCGGAACAACCATCCCCGGCGCTCTCGCCACGCACGCGCGCTCGGAAGCATGGCACGGTACCGCCGCGGTTCCCACCTGCAGACAGCCGCCGGTGCGGGGGGACGCTGGGGGCGAGGCCGTGCCTCGCCTCCCCTTTTCGCCCTCCTCTCTCTTTCTCTCTCGGCCCTTGGCAGTGCCTTTCGATGCCATCTCTCGCTCTCCCCAGGCTGCCGTGCCACCGCATCCACGGCATGGTCCCGGCGAGGACGAGCTCCACCCCAGCGGCTTGCTCCGGGAGCGGGGAGCAACGGAGTGCTCCCCGAGTCTGCATTTAGGGGGACGAAGGCCCTGCATGGCAACGACGACAACTGCAACGACGACGACTGCGACGACGACGACGCCCGCCGGGCCGCAGTGAAGGGATCGAGGCCTCCTAGGGAAACGCTTCCCTCGCCAAACCCCTGACTGCCTTCCCTCGGGCACCAGTGGGACGCTGCTGCTGCCACCGCCACCGCCGCCCACTGCGGGCAACGGGCCAGAGAGGCGACCCCAGCCGTGCCGCTAGCGTGGCCCCCGGATGGCTATTGATCATCAAGCGATCCTCAGACAGGCGTAGCCCCGGGAGGAATCCGGGGCTGCATGTGCCTTCGAATGGTCAATGGTCAATGTGTCCTGCAATTCACATTAATTCTCACAGCTAGCTGCATTCATCATCGACGCACGAGCCGAGTGATCTACCGCTAAGAGTTGTCCGGCTTTCGGGCACTGCTCACGCCAAGCGGCCCCTTTTTTTGTTACTCTGGGGCCAAGGACGCGGGGGTGCGCACCTGGCTTTGACCGTACGAGCACACAGAAACAGAAGGTGGAATAAAAACCAACTGGAGCAACCCACGCTCCGAAGGCCGGCCAAGAGGTGGGGGAGCCCGCGCTCCTGACCGCCTCCCCCATGAGGGGTGATGCCGACCTCACAAATGCTGTCCTTCAGAGGCGGACCAGGCACCTGGGCTCGGCCTGGCCACCACGTAGAGGGCCACGCGGCGCGCGCTGGAATGCGGGAGGGCACGGCAGCCCACCTGTGTCTCACTTTCACGGGACGACACGCACAAAACACACAGCATGCAGCTGGGGGCGCGTGGCCATCGGCCCCCACACACGGCGGCTCTCCCTTGGCCCCCGACGCCGCGGGCCTCACAGAGTGCCGCTGTGCTGCTGCACGGCCGGCTTATCTCTTTCCCCACTGCACGGCCTTCCCCTGGCTCGAGACGGCACGCGACGATGACCAGCCCCTGCCGGCACGCCTCCTGCGGGACCGCTCCCCTGCCGGGTGGGTGAGAGACCGGTGGATGCGCTCTGCTGCCAGCCCCGAGGCGGGTGCCACCGAGAGCCAAGCTGGCATAGCCAGGGCCCAAGGCCTGCCGGACGGCAGTCCCTGCTGCCACCGGGGCTGCACTCCCAGGACCGCCACCGCCGTGTCGCACCGCCGGGGCCCCTTACCTCGGGGGCGCGCCCGGCAGAAGGCAGGACGGCGCTGAGCTGGGGTGCAAGGCCTGCGCTCCTCGTTTGCATGCGGAGACCAGGCGGGGAGAAGCACCCCTGCGGCTGCCCTGTGCGCCTTCCTGCGGCCCACACACGGCCGGGAAGGGCGATGGAGG